AGCCCATGGAATATATATGTATTGGCATGTGGTATTTTTGAGAACTCAGTAAGCTTTGTGCTTACGGTTTTCAGTTTATGTTTCAGGTACTTCGGTTTTCAAATGGAAGAACTCAGGATAATTGTAGAGTACACACCACCTCGTTCCGCATTTTCTTAATTTACTCTGATATGATGTGAAGATTGATACATTTGTTTTATTTGGATATTATAATGATGTTTTTGGAATATTAATTTTATTAATTTAAAAATGAAAATTTTGGGTTTTATTGTTGGGATGTTACATGGAAATGTTGAAAAATACATTCCTCTTCCCATCAAAGATAATGATGACGTTGGCATTATGTCTGATATGCTTCGTGTGCATCAACAAATGTGATTAGTGATGGTAATTGGATTGTGTCACAATCATAGTTATTGTTTAAAATTAGCATTATTATTTTTTTACTTTATAGGTATTGTTTACGACATTTATCAACAACTTTAATGACAAGTTTCACAATTCAGAATTGAAAGCTTTAGCTTATCGTGCCAGGAGTCAGAATCAAGTTCGAAAATTCAACTCCATCATGGAAGAAATTAGGAAGCTAAATATAGTGGCTATAGAGACATCCACTTGATAGATGGACACTTTTACATGATAGTGGGAGGAGATATGAGCTTCTTACAACAAATTTGTCAGAGATTTTTAACAGTGTACTTAAAGGTGCTCGTTTTTTTACTAATCATAGCTAGTGTCCAGCTTACTTTCTATAGATTAGTGCATTATTTTGAAGTGATTCGTCCTTTAGGATCTAGTTCCCGGACTAATGGATATGCATATACTCCTCAAGTTTTTGTAAAACAAGTAGCATTGATGTCAAAAGCAAGTGCACACTTATTGATATCTTTTAATCGAGAGAAAGATATATTTGAGTTGATAACTCAAAGAGAAAAAAATGTGCAAGTAGTTAATTTGAACGAAAAAAAGTTACTTATGTGGTAAGTGGGAGGTATTTAAATATCATTGTTCTTATGTGTTTGATTGCATATGCGAAACTATCCTTGAATAGTTGGAGACATGTTCATAAATGTTACTCCATTGCAGTGTATTGTTCTACTCGGGTATCCGAGTTTTCCCCACTTCCACATGAAGCTATTGGCCATAGTCTTCATCTAGACAATTGCTTCCAAATTTAGAGCTTTTAAGGAATAAAAAATGTCATCATTACTCAACAAGACTACAAAATGGAATGAACATCAAAGAAGGGAAACATGGATACTTTGTGGGATTTGTAGGCAAAGTGGTCATAATTGGAAAAATATCCGTCTAAACCAAGGTAAATGAAGAGACATAAAGCTAATCGGATAAATCAATAGAAATATTTTTTTTCTTTGTATTTTTGTATGAAGTCATTATTGAATTTGTACCCAAAAAATATATCGTACATTTGATGTTGGATTTAATCTATGATGTCTAAGATTATTGTTTATCAATTAATCTTATTTACAATTATGACATTTATTGAGATTCCATCGATTTATTAAGATGATTAAATGAGATATAATATATTTGTATTTTTTTATATAAGTTAATAGCAAAGAGTTAAAAACAGGTCAAAAATCATATTAAAAAACACTAAAAATTAAAACAATAGCGGTAGATACTAAAAAAGATAAAAAACATTGTTTTGGTAAATATTTTAACTACTATATTTTTTGGTAAATATGTTTGAAACTATACTTATTTGATAAATATTTTTTTCAAACACATTTATTTGGTCAAAAATTAATCATATTAGATTATAACTATGTTTTGATTTAATTTATATTGAGGGTTAAAAATAGAGTCTTGATTCTTAGTTATTTTATGACTAATTAATATAATTTTATTTTAAATGTGAAAATTAATTTTTCTAATTAATTTATAATTATTATTAAATTAATATAATATATTAATTCATAACACAGATATGAATAGTACATTTTCTATTGTTCAAACTTTTGCCTCAAAATTTTGAACATTTTGTCACTTTTGGTACCTTCTTAAATTTTTTTAAAGTTTTGTCACAAAAGTTTCAACACTTTGCCACTTTTCATCCCTTCTCAACTTTTTTGCCATATTAGTTTGTGGAGTTGCCTTTTTGGTCTCCCATCACCATATTCTTTGCTACTAGCCAAAAATACTTCAACAGTTTGCCACTTTTCGTCACTGACATTTACCAAATATGACACCTCAAATTTTTGCATATTTGTTTGTGAAGTTGACGCTTTTGGTCCCCCACCTTTGATATTCTACTATACGATCATAATTTTCTCAAATCATTACACACACAAAAACTAGAAACAACAAACAAGAAAAAGAACCAAATAAATACCGAAATATGCAAACATGAAAAAACTTGAACCCTCGCGAAGCACAAATCATCTTCTATTTATATTAACAAGTGTTAATTTGAATGTGTGTCTTTCAGTTTTTAGCAACTACTATATAACTAATTTTGATGCTATTAAATAAAAATTTGAATTTTTTTTTTTATAAATGGTATTCAATTAAGAAATTACTTCATCTTTGAGATGAGAGACCTTTAACTTTGATGAGGGGAAGTACCAAAATTGCCTAATAAAAAAATGACCATCTTGGGGTTCAACCCAGACACACATAGTAATGTTGTTATTTATTTATAACTATTAAAATTATTTTAACATTAGTTAATATTTAAATAAATTTCCAATTGGTCCCACTTATTTAAGAACAAAACCACTAACACAAAACTGGTGGAAGGGGTGTCATATTTGCTATGATTCATATAGTCACCATGTCAGCTTTGCGACACCCCTTCAAAATTTTGTTATTTACATTTCATGGGTTTCCACACTTACCATGATATTTTTAAAAAAATTTATTTAATTTTAAAAACATAAACATTTCAAACATATTATTTTTTTAAAACTAAAATTTCATTAACTTCAAAGAAAATCATAAACTTACACTTAAAAAACAAAACATATTTGAAATTAAAATAATACACACTTAATCTTAAAAAAACATAACACACTTGAAATTAAACTAATACAAACTTATACTTAAAAAAGCATAATTCACTAGAAAAAACTAAAATTAAAATCAACGAGTTTAAATTTGAGCAAAATTTGGGGATTGTCTCACAATTTGCCAAAAGTCAACAAGTTGAAAATCTTTGTTAGTTTCAACATGGTAAGCCTCAAAAACATTATGTAGCAAAGTATTTTTATTTTCACCATTTCTAGCTTCATGCATCGCCCTGCGAAACACACTGCTAAATTGAGTTATAAGTGCGTTTGCGTGCCTCCATTTGAAGTAGATTTCTTCTTTACCTCGAGGGACCGGGGTTGTATTTTTTGCTGACTCTCCTCCAAAAGGTTGTCGTATGGAGGCAGGGGCGGCTCAATCAAATTCGGGGCTCTAAGCGAACCAAAAACTTGGGGCTCTTTTATTCAACCCTGATTCTATATTATGTAATAAAAACAAATATAAAAGTGAAGATTATCTTTATTTTCCTGTTTAAACTTGCAGTGTCTTATTTAAAAGGAAAACTCAAACTTGCAGGATTATTTTAACTCAAAAATACACAACTCAACACAAAAATCCATGAACAAACCAGTAGCCACATACATAGAAATCAATCAATAGACAATAACCAACATTCCTTAGACTACTCATAACACGAGAAACATTTTCCCTATTTGACTTGCATACCCAAGTATTTCTATTTAATATGCTAAGAAAAAAACATTTTATATAAAACAATAGTTATAGTCAATTCATGAATCAAATATAATACCTTAACAAATTCGGTAAACACAAATTCACAAAAACACAATTCACAAGATGTAAATAAATTAAGGTTTACCGGTTTAGTTTATCAAATCATATAAATCTTGTAATACCTTGATAAGAAGTAAATAAATTAAGATTCAGTTCACCAGCAACACAAAAAATGAGTGGAAACACTAACTCAAAAAATCAAAAATCAAACAATAACAATAAAGAAATTGAGAATATAATGTATAAAGTGAAAACAGATAATGGAAAACCGACTATTAACCCTAATAGATAATAAGATAATGGAAAAATCAAGTGAAAAAACACAGCATATACCTTAATCATTAGAGAAATTCATCAATCTTCATAGTAGCCGAGAATGGAGGAGGAAGAAGAACAGAAGCTATTTCAGCGGTTCAACCTTTCTTTCAATTTTTAACAGTTCAAGAATCGAGATTGAAGAAGCCTACTAGAATCGAGAATGGGGAATCAGTCAATCTGATATTCAAAGTGCGAGTCCACGAGAATGGAGAAGGAAGTAAGAAGTGTGATCGTCGCTTTTGATTTGACGCGTCGTATGCTTATCATCGAATGTAGAAGCCGAGAAGAGAAATATGGAATCGACATTAGAAGATTTGGGTTAATTGGGGCCCCTAAAAAATGGGGCCCTAAGCCCTAACTTACATTTTTGATACATCAAGCCGGCCCTGTATGGAGGTTAACGTGGATTGGGTCTTCTATAACATCAAGCCAGCAACATGGACCAAAAACGAGCCACACAAGCCATTAGCAATGAGGTTTTGAAGAAGATGAAAAATAAAAAAGTTAGGAGAATTGAATTAAAAAGATTTGAATGGGGTGAATAATGATTAAAGACGATGACATTTATAGTTGAAGATTGAAGATTTAAAATTTAAATTAAAAAAAATAAAAACAGTTATATATTTGAAATTGGATGTTTTTGAAAAGAATGTATTTTTTGAGTTAATGGGTAAAAAAATCACTTTATCTGTCATTTATAAAAGTTCACCGAGTTGCCAAGCCGAGCTCAGCATGCCTCGGCCTTGGCCCGGTGTTCACCAAGGTTGGCAGAACATTGCTCAGTCGAGTCCACTCCAATGAGCCTTAGCACCGGAATATGAAAAACAGATAACCAGCCCATATATAAAACCGGAATATAAAACCGGTCTCGATTAGTCCGGTCCAAGCGATCATCACAGGCATCAAAATTCGTGTGGCCAACAGACACCCACGGATAAAAGGAAATATGTCATACCGGATAAAACAAACGTTCGATCCGAGTTCAACCCATGAGCGACTCGTAGTCTATATGTGTTCGAACCGATAGAATTCTCCATTCTTCATTCTTCAGCAATGGAGACTCTCCTAACACTTAACCCATTAAAACCCCATACCCATCTCCTCAAATTCCCCAATTCCCGGACTTGCAGTCGCATCATCAACCATAGGTGTTTGTATTCCACTATTTCTTGTAAGCTCACATCCCAATCCTCTAAAGATACCACCAAGAACAAGGTTGTGATCCCTGGTGCAGCACCGTCTTTGTCGGAGGAAAATGAGAACGGTGCAGCACCACCGCCTCCGCCTGCGGCGGATTCCCGGCCAAAGAAGACCGGTGGGGTGGTTCTGAAAAGATTGACGAAAAGGGTTTTGTCAGTTCTTGCTAATTTGCCTCTGGCTCTTGGTGAGATGTTCGCCGTTGCTGCTTTGATGGCTTTGGGTATGTCGCCTCCTCCATGAATTGCCATGTATGTGACTTTGACTTTAAAAGTAAACCGGTTTGCATTTTGACTTCAAATCTGATATGAATTATAAATATTTACTCACGCATGTTTTGCCTATATCAACCCGTAAACAAGTGCTGCAAGTAGAACAATGCTGGTGATAAATTTATAATGACTTCGTATTAAATTTTCATTTGAAACATATAACGTTTGACACCCAAAAAAAGTCAGAGTGCAACATTTTCATTTGGGAACTATGGAGAACTGATACATTGAATATTGGGTATCGATTATTACTTTGTATAAGAATCTTCAACTTTAGTTAAAAAAGTTAAACACTTGTGGCGTAGGATAGCTTACATTAAATCCATAAGAAGTAATATGTTTAAAACATCTTGAAGGTCTTTTGAGATTATTTAATTTAAGGCACTTTACACAAATTTGTGATGGAAATTACCAAAGGATTCAATTTACTACTACTATTGACCCAAAAGAATTAAGATACATTCAAGATATTTAAAAAGCACGCATTTAAAAAAAAAAGATATTTAAAAAGTACTTCGTGAAAATGACTAAAATCTTTTTCTAAAAAAGGGCGAATTTAGTTAAGTTGGAATATAATTGAGAAAATCTATTTCCACATTGTCTTTATTAAATCATTCTTTATACATTAATTAGTCTGATTGGTATACAACTGTTTCCACAGGCACCGCAATAGAACAAGGCGAGGCTCCGGAATTTTATTTCCAAAAGTACCCCGAAGATAATCCGGTTCTAGGGTTCTTTACATGGAGATGGATCCTAACACTAGGGTTTGACCACATGTTTTCATCACCGGTTTTCCTTGGAACCCTAATTCTCTTAGGAGCTTCTCTCATGGCTTGCACATACACAACACAAATTCCCATGGTCAAAGTAGCAAGAAGGTAATGCTAATTTGCTAACATCAAATACTTTTACGTAATTGCTAATTGAGTCCTTTAACATTTTACATTTTACATAATTAAGTCCTTTCAACTTATTTAACATTTCATTTCACAGATGGTCTTTTGTACACTCGTCTAAAACAATCCGAAAGCTGGAGTTCGCCGATTCTCTCCCCAAAGCATCAATTCAAGATTTAGGCGTCGTTTTATCAGGAGCCGGATATGAGGTATACAAATATAAAAACACGTTTTACTAAAACATTAATACAAAAATAAAATATTATTCTTCTAACAACTTCTGGATCATGTGAGATATAAATTAGGTAGATAGTGGCCCATTAACTAAAACTCTAGGAACCATTGTGCAAAAGGGTTTATTGTTATGTTTACATGTTATGTAGGTTTTCATGAAAGGGCCATCTTTATATGCATTTAAAGGGTTAGCGGGTCGATTTGCTCCAATTGGTGTGCACTTGGCTTTACTTTTGATAATGAGCGGTGGAACTCTTAGTGCAACCGGTAGTTTTAGAGGTTCTGTAACTGTTCCACAGGGCTTGAATTTTGTTATGGGAGATGTATTAGGGCCAAATGGGTTCCTTTCTAAACCAACTGAAGCTTTTAACACCGAGGTTCATGTCAATCGCTTCTACATGGACTATTATGATAGTGGAGAGGTGAGAATTTTTGTTTCTTAATTACTTAATACAGATAATTTTTCTTACAAATTTGGCCGAGTTTATAGGTTTCACAGTTCCACACGGATCTTTCTTTGTTTGATATTGATGGGAAGGAAGTGATGAGGAAAACGATAAGTGTGAATGATCCGTTAAGATATGAAGGAGTAACGATATACCAAACAGATTGGAGCATTTCTGCACTTCAAGTACTTAAAGACGATGAAGGCCCTTTCAATTTAGCTGTTGCGCCTTTGACTGTTAATGGAGATAAGAAGCTTTATGGAAGCTTTCTCCCCATTGGAAATACCGATTCTCCAAATGTCAAGGGAATGTAAGATTCCCATTTCCCACCCTTCTCCCTTATTCTTCTCTGAAAATATTAAATGGATTTCTCGTTTTTCAAATCAGATCGATGCTGCTTCGTGATCTTCAATCGGTTGTGTTATATGATCCCGAAGGGAAGTTTGCTGGGGTTCGTAGGCCTAACTCCAAGCTTCCAATCGAAATCGATGGCACAAAAATTGAAATTGTAGACGCAATTGGGAGTAGCGGCCTTGATATGAAGGTAATGTTTGCAATCATATCTGCATAATTATCAACTTTTCACTGTTTCTTGAATCCAACGAGACTAAATTGTGTATGTGCAGACCGATCCTGGTGTCCCGATTGTTTATGCTGGATTTGGTGCGTTAATGCTTACAACTTGCATAAGTTATCTATCCCATACACAGGTAAGAACTAAGAATTTGAAAATCGGACCTTTTTCCTTCGAATTGAAAATGGTGGAGACGATATCTAGGGTTTTATACGCTAACCCTGTTTTTTGCATTACCAGATATGGGCATTACAAGACGGAACGACGGTGGTTGTTGGCGGCAAGACTAACCGAGCCAAGATTGAGTTCCCGGAGGAGATGAACCGTGTCCTCGATCGAGTTCCTGAAATAAACGAACCTTCTGATGCTATTTGTGGCTAATTCTAACAGTTTAAGAAACAAGATGGTTTGATTTATTGGAATACACAGGTATATATATATACCAGAGTCATGAAGATTATTAGATGAGACTCGACGGATTCATTTCAGTTTTTTCTGCACAGATACGCGGCTCGATTCTTTGAAGAATGTCGAATTTCATGGGGGAATGTAGACAATATACCGAATGTAATTCGATTTGCATTCTGAGAGTTATGATACGTTTATGGATTTAAAGTTGTATAATTACAAAGTGCAGAGGAGATTAGAGGTTTGAATGTTTGATCGTGTGTTTTGAAGATGTTTTATTAAACCAAAAGAAATAGTGGAAGGACGTTACGTGTCATTTACTCATTTATTAAACCAAAAGAAAGGAAAAAAAAAAAACAACAAATGCGAATAGTGGAGGGGGCGTTACGCAAATTTTGTCTATATTAGGTCATTGGTAGAAAGTCAAAATTGAAAAAATATAACCGCGCCAGGTAGGGGTCGAACCTACGACTTTCTGCTTAGGAAACAGACGCTCTATCCACTGAGCTACAGGCGCTTTTTTGTTTACTAATAAATGATATGTTAAATTTATTAGCAGTATTGATAGATTAACACAACAAAATCCTGGATCAAGTTGAAATAACCATTTGTTCAATTTCCTTTCACGATTTGAAGGATTACTAACTACTAAGCTTGAGATATTAGTAAAAACAAATTACGTGCAAACAGAACATATATTTTGATTTCAGGAAACATAATTAAAAATTCAAGGTTCAATAATCAAATAAAAAATTAGATTGGTTTAAAACTTTAAATAGTAGGGGGTACTCTAAAGATGTGCGAGTGGTATGGTTGAACTAGGCCTAAGTTTCCAACCATCAAATTCTTTCCATATTATATTATTAAAAAACTATGTGAAAAACCCATATATACACCAAAGGTTGATATTTGGTTTAAGATTTACTTTTAAAATTGCTAAGTGATGACAATAAATCATAAATGGAGTTTTTTACTTAAAGAAATATGGATATTTTATGATTACATTAGCAATTTCGATCAAGTAAAAACTCAATTGATATTTACTCAATTTTTCAATAAATACTAAAACTTAATGTTCGAATGTATGAGCACTACAATTTTGATTTGCAGTATTAAGTTATTGATAGTTTATGTTTGTTTTGGAATTTTATATTCTATAAAAGTTTTACTTTTTATAAGAGTTATTTTTTCATGTGATTTTAACATTATATATATTTTCTTTTTGAAAGTTTTGATGAAAAAAAGTGAAAAAAAGTTCTGGGCTATATCCGTAGTTCTTTCTTTATGAATACAATGTATAGATGAAGCTAATAAAAATATATAAATCAAGTTATATGAATAAGACGTTAATCATATATGAATTGAACCATGTGATTTTTTTCATTTATGATTATTATGTATTTTCATCTTTTCATTGTATTTTAGCCCTTTATGATCAAAATTGTACTAGATTTATGTTTCTACATTTGTACTGTGAAATCTAAGATCTTCTGGAATATAATGTTGGAATGGTAATGTTCAAGAAAACATTATAAAGTGATATGTTGATGACTTTATAATTACAAGTATAGGAATTCAAATATATTTTCTTTTTTGTTCATGTCTCATATTAATTTATGATTATAAGTGTATTCATATGTGATATATTTATATATGAATATAATTACAATTATAAGAATTCATATGTATTTTTTATTTTGTTTATGTCTCTTCATTTAGAGTTTGACATCATATGTGTTTTTCTAAATCCTTTTCATTTAATTGATTGTTAATTGTATTTATTTCTTTATTTGACAGTATGTAGAGGAAATCGAGATGCATCTACAAACGGAATGTTGGAGTGCTAATATACAACCAAACAATACAAAGTGGAAAAGATATCGCCTTATTCATTTATGATTATATAATAATAGTTAATTATTTTTATTCGAATTTTTGTTTATGTTGTATTCATATGTGATTATAGAAAAATAGATATGTATTACATTGTAACTTTTTGTGTTACTATTATTTATGAATAGAAATATAATCTAGATATGTATCCAATATGTTTTTATTTATTTATGGTTATAGTTGTATTGTAAATTTTCTCTATAAATTGCGTTATATTTGTTTATTATTACAACTTAATTCATCTATTCATTCACGATTACAATGGATTAATATATGATTACAAATATGTTTTATTTTGGTATGATTACACATATTCGGTTGAAATGATAAATTCTTCAATTTTTTTTGATATACTAGTAAAAAAAATAAAAAATAAAAACGTTTTTTTAATTATGGTAATTTTTTTTTAATAATCTATTTGATTAAAAATAGATCAAATTCATTTATAATATTTAGGTAAAAAATCAATTAATTAGACAATATCCCATGATTGTAGGAAATCATTAATTATCCATATTTAATTACATTGTAAAATTCCTTTTAAGCCCTTATGGAATGATTGGTCTATAATTGTTCTCGCATTCTCAACCTTTTAGGTGTTCTCATTTGATCATCTCCCTATATATATATATATATATATATATATATATATATATATATATATATATATATATATATATATATATATATAAGATGCACAATACTAATACAAACTAGGATAATATTGTATGTAGTATAAGGTTTCATGTGTAAATGGTTAAACAGATTGTTAGTGTTTAGTGTTTATTTATATAAAATAGACACTTAATATTTCACTTCACAAAATGTGTTAATCTTACTTATTCATTATAAGTATATTAATATGAATACTTGTATCGGATTTCAAGTATTAGATCTCACACGAAGCATATCAATAATATTGTTGACTATATTTCTGCACAAAATATTTCATTTAAATATTCCACGTTTTATAAAAATTTCTTTTTATAAAACTCACAGAGTCAAAACCTGTGGAACTCACCAACAATTTTTGTTGACGTACTTTAAAACTGTGTATTCCCAGGTAACTAAGAAGTCAGGGGTAGAACATCGGTTCCAAGAAGATTATATTTCCTTTCTTTTGTTATGAACTTGGTTTATTTTAATGTTTTCTTATTTGAATAATTATAAAATTTTAATAATGTTTTCAAAAACCAAAGTTTGTTATATATTAATTGAATGTTCAATGTATGTGGTTGACTGTGGTTCCAATTGTTAAATGTCACAACCTCGACGTTTCCGTCGTCAGTTGGGGTGTGGCAAGTTGCTCATTAACTCAACAAAATATTGTTTACAAAAAAAGATGTTAAAATTATTCTAACAATCAAACCTAACACTAGGCTTGATCACCCCTAATCGACGCCTTCTATGTGTTCTCTCTCTCTCTCTCTCTCTCTCTCTCTCTCTCCTCCTCCTCCTCCTCCTCCTCTTTCTTCTTCTTCTTCTTCTTCTTCTTATTATTATTATTATTATTATTATTATTATTATTATTATTATTATTATTATTATTCTCTCCATATTCTTGCAGGGTCTTGACAAGTATTGATAGGCCTACCAGTTAGTTTGGCTAGAGCCTCACGTCACACAGTCACGTTCCAGGATCCTACATTCTTGATATCCTCTGCCAACTTGACTCTTGCCTCCCAAACCACCTCGACAACACTGCTCCTGGCTTCAACGATCACCTCCTTGATCTCTGCCGTATGCTCCTCTTCTCTTACTGCTTTATCCTTGACCAACTCCTCCACCCTCTGGAGAAGATCCTTGTTGACCGCCTCTTACTCCCTTAAAGGTCGTTCTATTTGGTCGAGCTTAGCCTTGAGATCCTCTAAAGAATGAGAGATGTGATCAGCCACCTGTAAGAAACAATGGGGAGAAAATTGAGAATGTGTATAAAAAAGAAAAAAAAAAGGAATAAACTACAAGGTTACTTATAGATTGCAAGAAGGAGAGCAATTTTTTCAAAGCTCTATCCACCTTAAGGATTTCCAGGTTAAAGACTTTCGTCGATTTTCTTATTCGGGATCTTGGAGTCTTGACGGATAAATCAATAGGAGCCTTCTTGGAAAAGAGAGAGTATTTTTCTTTCTTGACAACCAATGGGTCTCTGGACATGGCAGAATCAAGGTCGGCAAGAGTAAAACGTGTGTCAGAACGGTTAGATTTGGATCCTAAAGTATAATAGGAAATCGAAGTATCAGTTTACAATCCTTCTTATAGAATGAACTAAAGTCAAGGATCCTTACCGGTAGCCATGTAGATATGTATGAAATTTATTGGTGGCTAGAAAAATCAAGCTTGAATGTCCTATCAATCTCAGGCGAAGCAAGAAAGTTCTTGATCCTATCTTCAATATCTTCAGCAAGAGGGATTAGCTCGTTGAACTTGAAAGCTGTAAAAAAATCTAACAAAATAAGAAGTGTGAATATGGGATACTCAACTTAAAAATAAGGAACCCTTCCCTTTTTAACCCAGGATCGAAGTAGATGGTTTCCACCGGAATTCGAGTCACGTTTTACTAAAAAAGTATCTTCCTTTCCAAGCACCATCATTATGCATGGATTTTAGTATGAGAGATGATCTATCGGTTTTAACTTTCAATAGAAAACGAGAATTCCCAAAGATGGAAAGGTCATAAATGTAAGCTAACTCGTTCATACTGATGTTGAGACCCATGGAGCAATTCAGATGATCAATCCGATAAAGGATCCTCCAAACCGCCAACATGGCTTGGATATATGAAATCTTCGTAATTTAAAAAAAATCAGAAACGATTCCTGCAAAAAGGATAAGTAAGGCCTAAGGTGAAGGGATATTCAGGAAAACAAACCCAAACAGAAGACATTAAGTCAGGTTGGATCCTGACATGTAAAGGTTTGAAAATAGTACCAACGGGAAAAATTGAACTCAAATCTTCGATACTATCGTTGTCAAAGGTACAAAATTCCTCATAGGAAAGGAGTTTTTGATCTATGAAATCATCATCAGGAATAGCTATGACATTTATACGAGAGCGAGCTCCTTTTTTGCCCATCTTTAGAAGAAAAAGAAAACTAGGAAGGAGAAAATAAATAAAGATTGTACATTTGACGATGTTCGATGAACTTCCAGAAGAAAAGTTAAGAGTAAGATGAAATTGAAAAGCTCCATATCCTATTTGTACATGAATCACTGAAACGTAGAAGGGTGATTTAACCCATTCCAACGGCTAGA